CCCTTAAAAAGTATAACACGTTCCCCTCAAGTAACTCAAAGCCTGCTACTTCACTTCGATGGTACCCTAAAGTATATTCCCCACATGTGAGGGGTAGTACAATAAGTGGCAGTGGGCTCCTCCTGGGTGGTTGGCGGCATTTTCATTCTGCTTCAACATCCCAGTTTGCCACGACAATTCTCCTCACACACCCTTGCTCCTAGAACATGCACATCAACATCCAAACCAAACCTTCCCCATTAAATAACACCATTCGCAAAATAAAATGTCAAGACAAAATAAATATATCAAATGCAACTACATGCTCCTAAATGCATCTAAATGAACCTATATGAGCCTTAAGACAATCAACAACTTAAGTAAAAAGGCCCCAAATATAACATTTTTACGGAGTTATCAATCGCTTCGCCGACATAGCTCTCGAGATGGAAGAAGGGGAATGCCATTTGAGTGAACCGTCGTTCGAGCTTCTTCATCTCCTTCAGGCGGACACAAATGGAAACGAAACTCTATGACTTTAGGGTTGATATGCGGCTTTTTTGTCTATTGTACCAAAAAAACACTCTTATATAGCAAATAATATATATGTAGTAAGTTGATAATATAAAGCATATATATACGTGTCAACATTTAATATTATATATATTTTTATTCAATTTTTAGTGTAAATTTATTTTTTTAAAGTATGTACCTGAATTATATCTTTATTTTAGTGCACGTGACCCTTTTATTTTAATTTTTACAGATTAAACTCAATTTATTCTTAATTTTTATTTTTTTACATAACTCTAATGTATTTTATTTTACAATAATCAATCCTTAAAAATAAGTAATTCAGATCATTATCTAAATTTTGGCCTAAATTTTAATTTTCAAAATTAAGACGATCTATAATTGTGTTGGTACCAAAAAGGCAATTCAAGGGTGTTTATCATTCTTCGTTTGTAATCGGCTCTCGAATCCAAAAGTTTCTAGTAAGATGTAGATCTTGTAAAAAGGTAAATATTAGGTGTCCGACCTTAATTTTAAAAAGTGGTCGGTAACAACTCCATCACATCATTTAAGTCGATACAAGAATTTGGGACCACCCGAAGGACCGTCACGACGATAAGAATTTGACTCCGATTGACAAAATACGTCAATTAAGACCCATTAAAAACTGGAATAGAAGTTGTTGATGAATATTCTGCAAATTCTATCACAATTCCTTACAATTGTAAGAATTAATTGGAAATAAAGCAATATACTCCTCCAAAAGGAGTTTTAAACGAGTGAAATAAGTAGAAATAGAAAAATCACCTTGTGTGAATAAAGCAATATCACGATGATGAAAAATATACGACATCATCGATCTTATTGAATCTCTCCTTCAAATCTTTCCAGATAAATGTAACTGTAGATGCAAACACCAAATCCATAGAAAGTTCAACGCTCACATTATTAAGAATCCATGAAAGAATAATCACATTACAGTTCCTCATAGTCATCTCGACAACAATAACTATCGATAAACTCTAATTAGTTCTTTGCTAACAACACAATTCACATCAAATGATTCCAAAGAGTATAAGTTTCTAGAAACTTTGATACTTTTTGTTTTATTTTATCATGTCTTAAACTTTTAAAATTTGAGATATTTATTGCATTATGAAATATACCTACATTAAAATTTTCTCTTATACGTGATCTATTTTACCTTGATCTCGCTTTTGATTGATTTTTGTTTATAAATTTTTAACATATGTTAGTGAGTTTCATCTTTGAATTTAATTCATTCATATTTTAATTGTAGACATGCCATTTCGGCTCAATTTGTGTCATACGATATTTTACATATTTATAATATAGGCATCTTTTATATTATATTTATATCATATATTTATTTAATTTTTTTACATGTTTTGTAATAGGATTCATATTACAACAAGTGCTAAGCCCAATACATAGCAGGTCTGTTTACAAAAGAAGTAGCACAACCGTTCAAACCCAAACACAAGAAGCAACCAGAACTAGCCCGTTGAAGCTCGACCCAAACCAGTAGACTAAGGTTTTCGAAACCCTAGTTTCGTACCTCTTTTCAGCACCGCGTCGCGAGCAATGTCCTCCGCCCCTCCTCCGCTTTTTCCGGCCGTTTCTCGCAGTTCAACAAACGCCACAGACATGTGTTAGTCGGACTCCAAGCAAACCGAGTTTTACTCGAAATCAACCACTAAAAATAGCATTTTTTTTGTACTATAAATAAATGTAAACTCAATACTACTCACACACAGAGTTTACATGAGATTACGGATACGAAAAAAATAGTGTGAGACTAAGGCGTTTGAAGCTTGTATTACGAAAGAAATAAATTTAAAAGGTATCTTTTTTACCCTTTTTTCTGATTTGCGTTCCTTGCATGCTTTGCTTGTCTTTGTTCTTGATTTGTGAGACCAAAAAGCTCAAAAAACGGGTGGTTCGCCGATGATCGGGGGAGGGCAACCGAGGAGTTTTCCTCAAATCTAGCTCTCCCAAGGCATTTTTTCGAAAAAACCACTTGGATATTCGAAGTGAGGGTGAAAAAATCTTTTAAAAAAACTAAAATGTTTTTATTTTGGCCACCGATGAACGGCGGCCGGCGAGGCGGCAGGCCATCGGGTTCTGGGAACCACGGTGACCGTTCTTCAAGAATGAAGAAGAGGCGAGAGAAATAAACCAAGGGGGAGGGGGCTTTTGTTTTAAAATGAAGCAAATGAAATATTTTAAAAAATTATTAACTTATATATCGACCTGTGATCCGACCCGTGCGACCCGCAGCCCGACCCCAGCAAAGTCACCAAGCTATCGGAACCGTCTTTCGGGTGGGACTGAAATTGGGCTTCAACTTGGAAAATGTGTTAGAATCGTCACCAATCATTTAAAAAACAAATTTTAGGTGGATCGAACACCATCTTACCTGGTCTGCGTTTTACCAGAAATGTGTCAGGTTCGGGAGTCAGTTACAGTCAAGGAAGGATTAACACCATTGAATTCCTTTTTCGGTGGCCTTAATTACGAAAATTAAAATTTAAAAATTCGATTCGAATTAATTACCTTTGATCGATTGAAAGCATCCTTAGAAAGTAAAAAATGTTATATTATAAAAAATAGAAATAAATATGGAAAAAAAGTAGTAATATAATAATAATAATAAAATAAATAAAGAAAATAAAAATAAATAAATTGAGTAAAAATAAAAATAATAAGAATGAAAAAAAAATGAAGAGAGGAAAAAATAACAAAAGGTTAAATTCTAAAAAAATGTTTAAGGATCACCTAGTAATTAAACAAAATATCAAATGCACAAAATAGTGATTAAAATGTAATTATTATAAACTAAGAGACCGAGAATAAATAAATAAAAATTTAAATTTCGTTAGTGACCAAAATAAAGTATGTATAAAATTAGAAATAAAAATTAGAAATACTAAAAATAAACTACAGTGACGAAAATGTAAAAGGTACAGCTTATAGGGACCGAGGATGGGATTTATCCATAATATTTGAAGGACCAAAGGGAGAGTTTACCCAAAGTCCACCTTTACGTGGGATTTGTTTCATTTCACGCAACAGACCGGGAAACAAGTTCGATGTCATTGCCATCCAGAACAATCTCATCCTTAACCTTCTCGAATCTCATAATGGAAACCCCTTCCAACATATCTACCTTACGAACCTTCTTCTCGCCAAGGAAGTTGCAGATCTCGATGGACTCATAGTAATAAATTGCGACCGCAACGCAGCGTAATGCCCGCATCGTAATATTTTTTAAGGTTATCGCTACGTAATATCGGCGTAAGGCGATAAGGGAACCACATCACGATTGTTGCGGTCAAAAATCGTTACGTAACACCGCAACACGCTATAAATTGTGCCGCAACAAACTTTAAATTATCTGAAATATAAAATTACATAGATGAATTGTTTTAATTTAATTCTTAAAACTGAATTATAAATATATATCGATAATAATATCGTAATAGTTATGTTTAAAATTAGTTACTTAAATTTGAATTAATTAAATTATTTATTTTGGTGGTTAACTGTAAGATATAGAACTTTTATATTTGTAGTTATGTATTTTTTTTCTTTCTAAGTTATGTAAAATGAACATTTTTATGTTACAATATAAAAAATTTGATATGATTTTAGTGATATTGTTTATATGTTATTTATTAACATTATAATTGTTATTACTCATTATCTAGTATGATAGCACTTTTATGATTTATATTTGTTTTAAATAATTTTTTATCTATAAAATTAAATTTTTATTCTCAAAATAAAATATTAAAAGAGTATATTAATATTAGTATATTAGAAGATAACTTTAAAATGTATAAATATAATATTTTAGATATATTGTGATTTTTAGAGAAGAGATCACGCCCGCGACAACCGCAATACGTTATGTAACGTCCACAGTATCCGCGATACCGACACCGCATCTGCAACAAAATCCGCAACCACAATTTGATACTATGGACGGACTTATTGTCGTTAGTGATGGGGGCGTTGATCAAAAAGTGTATCACCTAGATTAGCTGAATGTGGAGTTATGGTTATGGACGTTGTTGGAGTAGTGGATGGAAGGGGAAAGCAATAGAGGTTCCTTTGTTTTTGGGTAATTTGTTGGAAATAGGGGTTGAACATGGAGTCCGGAAAAAATGGGTATCTACATTAATCATATTTTCGTAATTACAAAATTTATGTTATGATAATTTTTTGTAATTTTTATAGTAGTTTTAGTCCATTAATTGTACACTTTTAAAGTGCTTATATTTTCGTTATTTTAGTGTTACTCATGACTCATGGTAGAACATCCCAAGGAAATAAAGAAAATTTTAGAAACACAAAATTTAAAATCAGTCTACATGCAAAATTATAGGAGGTAATCTTCAGGATGCATGGAAGTAGAGAAACACTTCTTTCGAATCATGGAATGCGTTGTTCAATCCTCTAAGATGGCCATTTAGGATAAACAGATGATATTATTTCAGTTTGGACAACTGAGTCAACTCAATCAACCATTACCACAAATTCAGCAACTGCAAAACCAGATGCTGCTCTTGCAGCCGCCGGAAAAGACGGAAACACCACAAAGAGAAACTCCAGCGCAAGTTACGCAACCACTATTTGAGAGAAGCAGCATTTGAGATGGAAATGCCGCTTTAGAAGGAGAGCAATTATGTTTAAATAATAATAACGAGCCCGGTCAACTCGCCCAGACTGTGTCAAACTTGGTCGAGGGAGATTAACAAATTACTTTTAGCTGGAGGCTGTATAATTTAGAAGACAAGATCAATCGATTCGATCCAGTCCATACAAATCGTTCCGATTGGGCCAGGTTCTTGGATGAGCCAGGTGAATTAGACTGAACAGACTCAAACGGTTCCAACTGATCACACGACAACTCCTCCTCCTCCCACGGAGTATTGTCAGACAGGGATAACTGAGGTAACAGGAGAGAGCAATTCGAGTTTTCCCAAGGAAGCTCCCGACTCGGAGGCACCGACTTTCTGGACGGCTTTTCCTTACTGTTACACTTTTTACTAGTATCCAAAGGTGTACGAAGATTATACACTGAGGTGTCAAGCTAACAACTGCAGGGAAGCTTTCCACGAGGTTCTGATTCCTTCACCACCTGTGAACGGAGACGATTCATATTTGTGTACTTTCGGTATTTTCCCGATAGGATTTTTGGTGAAGGGTAAGTTTCCCAGTTGGTCTTCTGTTTTAACCATGTTTTCTCTCCCTAACAACCAGAATGCTGGTAAGCATAGTGCAGGAAAGTCTTCTCCAAGAGTGTTTTATGATGAAGATGATGTATATGTAGAGAAATTAGAGAGATCTTCTGAAGATAATAGTGATGAAGATGATGACTGGTAGGCTGAAGAAGGCAAAGAATGCGAAAGGGAAACTAACTGTGGTGAGAAATGCCATGGGGAGTGATGTGACCCAATTCATCATCATGTTTACAATGGCTATTCCGACCTTTCAAGAGAAGAAACTTTATAACTTTATACATAAAGATGCTTATTTCATATGTTATAATATAGTTATTTTCATATATATATATATATATATATATATATATATATATATTATATCTATAGTTATTCTGTTAATAACATATTCATTAATATGTGAGATATAAGTTATTATTATATACTATAGTTCACATTCTTATATTATACACATTATATAAGTTTATATACATAATTATTTCCTTATGTTATATATGTAGGCACATTCGGCTATAACTTGGGAGCTATTTTGGAGCTAAATGGAGCATGCAACAACAAGGAAACTTACAGGGGTATGTTTAGGAGAGCATAAGGAACCATTGATGAAAAGTTTTCTGGAGACACGTGAGCTCATAGTTGGATTGAGCTGAAGATTTGAGCTGCAAGATGACTTCAATTCAGCTGGGGAGCTGTACCAACATCATCACTACTCAGGACATTTCACAAGGAGCTGCCCTAATGTTCACCATGCTACAACTCACCTATGGTCAGCTCACCTCTAGCTCATTCACACCAGAACTAGCTTAAATATGAAAGGTTACCTTTCCAAACATTTTGACCTTTCATGAATGATACTGCCCATGAAGATGCCCTTTCACCAAGGAGCGTGTTGGTGAAGAGATCACAACCATTGAAGGCCTAAATCATCAAAGGACATGATACAAAGCTTCGTGACTATTCGACCACAACATATGCCTTGCACATGAGATCCTTTGGCGCCAAATATGAGGAGGCACATCACCATTCGGCCAAGGAGAGGAAATTGGTGCCAAGATGAACAAGCATGTACCATTCGACCAAGGGATATGTCTCCCCACCCTTTGATCGAAACATCAAGGCCCTTCATGAAGGGATAGCCAAACCAACACCAAGTTTAAAGGACGTATCTCTTTATTCCATTAATTATGTACTTTCATTAAGAGACATGTACCAACCAAATCCCTATGTAACCATTCAACCAAGCCCTCTCATTTCCAATAAATTGAGAGGCTTGCCTTACTTATCTCTTCTCATATATTAAACATACTCTTGTGAGTTAATTTCTCTTCAAAGTTCTTTGTGAACTTTATCGATTAAGCAAGTATAATTCATATACTTGTGGCGTCATTCCTTCCATCTTGATTCCTAAATTTCTAGATTTATATCTAGTGGGTTGAAGACACTATCACCACCCCTCAAGCAAGTTTGTGAAGATCAGGATTGTGTTTCCTGGCATTGTTTCCTCTTTGGCGTGCTTGAGATACAACATCACCACCATCTCTATTTCATCATCAAGCATCATCAACATCCTTCATTAAGACCATCACCAACTTCATACTTCCGCATCCATATTTTTCTATCTTTATTTCATTTCTTTCTATTTCCATTACTTATATTATTATCCATTTCTTAAGTCCATCGTTAATATTATTTCTTTTTTTTTTTATTTTATTACAGCCCAAGCTTATAAATTCAAGGATATCAGTACTTGTCAATCCTAGATCGGGACACAATAAGGCTATCTACTCTCTTCCACCAAAGCGTGAAGAATTGCCTTACATGAAGCGGTAATCAGAGCATAGTTGGATTGACAACAAAAGTGTCATTGGCATGCAAAGCAAAAGAAAAAGACTCATACATCAAAATTGGAGTACAAAAAGAAAGAAAAGACGAAAAAGAAGAAAATAAATAAAAGAATTTCAAAAAGAAAGCAAAGCCAAGGAAAGTGATCTACTATTGCAAGTACATCAAAGAGGCTTATCTACACTAAGAGAAGATAACCTTATTGTTTCTTGAGAAAGGTTGCAGTAAGTGTTGTTTCTTGAATTGTAAGTCACCTCATCATTTTCCGTCCTTTCATTTTCCTTGTCTTCAACCATTTCCTTCTTTTAAATACCTTTAAATCATTTCTTCTACCTTTCCATTTCTTCTATTCCTTTCTACCCTAACCTATTTGCAGCGGACGCACACAATGAAAGAATTAACTTGTTTTAATCTTGAGTAAGTTCTTCAAAGGACTTAGCAAGAGAAATTGAGTGGAAAAGGCTATTTGAGAGAGTGAGATCAGAAGGGGAATTGTTAAAAGCCAAGATTATTCCCGAGAGTAAACACGAGTGTTGAGTGGAGTGATCTTATCATTTCTTTGTAGTGAATCTTGTGAGACTTTGTGAGTGTGTTGGTAAGGTTTAATTTTTTTTGTTTACTAGCCATGTCTCAAAGTCCTAAAGATAATGCAGGTCAACCAAACTTGCAAATGCAAGCATTGATTGGAGAAATGATGAGAATGTTTCGTTCAAAGTTTGATGCTCTTCATGATAAACTAGACCAACGACAAGATCCACCACAAGCTCGGAATAATGATACTCCTCGGAGGCAACAACCTTTTCCAGAAGATGATGTCCTAGATAATTATGATGAAGAAGGACTAACAATGTTACAAGGACCTAGGCGTGCCAATGTTGATGATAATATGAGCAACATCAAAATCAAGATTCCTCAATTCCAAGGGAAAACTGATCCTGAAGCCTATCTTGAATGGGAAAGCAAGGCGGAACATGTTTTTAGTTGCCACAACTATTATGAACTCAAGAAAGTGAGATTAGCAGCCATGGAGTTTGTCGATTATTCTTTGATATGGTGAGATCAACTTACTATTACCAGAAGGAGGAATGGTGAAAGACAAATCTCAACATGGCTTGAAATGAAAGGTATTATGCGCAAACGTTTCATTCCTGTTCATTATCACTGGGACTTATTTCAGAAACTTCATAACCTTAAACAAGGTCAACAAAGTGTGGAGGATTATTATAAGGATATGGAAGTGGAAATGATTCGAGTAAATATTGAGGAGGATCGTGAAGCAACCATGGCTAGATTTCTTGTTGGACTCAATCTAGAAATTGCCAACACCTTGGAATTGTATCATTACATATAAATTGATGAAATGGTGCAAATGGCTATGATGATAGAAAGGAAATTACAGAGAAGATCTATCTCTCGCACTACCATGCCTACACCTTCAAGATGAAGTCCAAACAATTTAAAGAAGTCTACCCGTACTCCTACCAAAGAGAAGGCTGAATCATCTAGTTCTCCACAACTCAACAAGGAAAGCCGAGTAAAAGAGACCCTTGAATGATTAAGAGACATTCAGTGCTTTAAATGTCTTGGGAGAGGGCATGTTTCTACACAATGTCCTAACCGAAACACCATGTTACTCCTTGAAAATGATGACATTGAATTTGACCATGAAGAGGAAGAATCAGCACCAACCGAAGTTGAAGAAGAAGCAGAAATTGGTGCTCCCATGGAAGGAGAAGCCCTAGTGGTTAAAAGAAATCTGAGTGCTCAAGTAGTAGAGGACAATGCACAATGGGAAAACATCTTTCATAACTGATGCAATGTGAATGAAAAGGTATGTTTCATGATCATAGACGGGAAGTTGTACCAATGTGGCAAGTACCATCAGGGTGGAGAAATTGGGCTTAAAAATGTTAAAGTATCCAAATCCCTACAAACTATAATGGCTCAATGAACGAGGAGAACTTAACGTCAACAAATAGGTGATGGTTCCTTTTTCAATTGGAAAGTACAAGGACGAGGTTATGTGCGATGTTTTTCCTATGCATGCTAGCCATTTACTCCTTGGAAGACTATGACAATATGATAGAAGGACCATCCATGATTATTTTACCAATCATTATTCGTTCAACCATGGAGGGAAGAAGATTATCCTAACACATTTGATGCCTAAACAAGTCCAAATTGATCAAATCAAGATGAAACAAAGTGTTGAGGCCATGAAGAAAGGAAAATCGAAGTCAAACCAAGAGGAAACTAGTCCAAAAACAAGTGCTTATACATCTAAGTGCTTGTTACAAAGATGTTTATTGACGAGACGCAAGGTCAATGAAGCTTTTCTAACCTTGACAATGCAAAAATTTCCTTTGACTTACAGGATGATCCAAGCGACACAATTTATCAATTTGGGGGATTAAAGGACGTGACCTTTCAAGGGCCAAGAGGTGCGAATAATGACAAGCATAGGGAGGCGATTTTTCATCAAAGGGAATCTATAAGGACATCACCATTCCAAGAGTAATTACCTTTCATGAATAAATGCATACATCTATTGAAGAACAAAGGGACATGATTTTTGGAATGCAAAAGGGCACAAACGTTCAAAGTAAAATGTCTTCAATAGACATAAACTTTGAACATACATTTAACAGGAAGTATTTCTTAACTTTAATTATGTTTGATCACATTTTTACTTATGAAAGTTTTCTTTCTTTTCAGATCAAGAACTTCCAAAGCATTCTTTCAAAGGATATGAACCTTTTCATAAAGATACTTATTGAATGGAAGGATACTAGGAAAAGAAGACTTTTTGATTTGAGGACAAATCGATTAAAAGAATGATAGGATGATGTGACCCAATTCAGCATCATGTTTACAATGGTTATTCTAACCTTTCAAGGGTAGAAACTTTCTAACTTTATACATAAGGATGCTTATTTCATATGTTATAATATAGTTATTTTCATATATATATATATATATTGTAAGGTATGGCTCATAAATATACCGGTAAAGAGGACAGGGGATGAATAGGGTTAATTTTGTAATTATGTACCAGGGTTTTCTATTATAAATAGAGATGTAACCTACACCTATGAGACATTGAATAAAATTTCTAGCGCCGCCTAGGCACCGAGGACGTAAGTAAATTGCCAAACCTCATTAAAATTCTTATGTTCTTTCGTTTACTTTTCCTGATTCTTCAACAATTGGTATCAGATGTCAGGAGCAAAATTTGAAGTTGCGAAATTCGATGATCAGGGAAAGTTTGGATTATGGCAAACGAGGGTGAAGGATTTGTTG